ATAATATTTATCTCCGTACAAACAAACCAACTAAAGGAGCTACTCCAAACTGGTTTAAACAAATCTCAAATAATATATAATTAAATATAATATTAGATATTTGGCCACAACTGAATTACCAAATCTCATTTTTAATTTTGTCATCTTATGATCATATGTCCCATATGATTTAAATAATCTTTGTATAAAATATCTCAACAATACTACTTCTTTTGATAATAAAATATCAATCATATTGATAGTTAAGCAATTTTTCTCTAACCCTATAGCATAATTAAATACATGAAAATTATCATGCCAATACAACAACTATTCAATTCTAGTCAAACTAACACGTGATATTTCATTAAAATCTTTGTTAATATATGATAAATTATATGGATATCTCATATAAACAAAAATTAAAGATTTTATTTCAATACTGAAGTTTTTCATGTTTGTAAAAATTTCTTAATAAAAAAAAACGTTTATTTATAATTTATATTGAGTAAAAATAAAAAAGAATATTCTTTTAACTATTCTATATTTATAGTATTATTCGGATAAATTGTAATATATCATTAATAAACTTGTTATTGATTCTTACATATGCATGTGTATGGCTTTATCAAGCAATGCATGAAGGAATATCTCTCGCACTCCATTCACATCTCTATTGATGATGAGACCACAATTCTTGTACTTGTAAGTCCTCCTACTACCAATGTTCTGAATGTTACCATACTACAAACATATCTTTGAAGTATACATCTTGTCTTAGATGATAACTTTTAGACTGATTTCTTTGGCTTTGTATATCAGATTCTGTTGGAATAATCCATATAACCAGGTCAACATGCTTCTCATGATACTGAACTTGATCTTTCTCTTGTCATTCTTCACCATGTTCTTAACATTGAACTCTGGGATTATAATCACGTCATAATTCTTCACGAGATAGTTTATGACCTTTTGATGAAGTTCGTTCCTTAGGTTCTTAATCTTTTTGTATATTCTAGCTTCCGCCTTATCAATCCTCTTGGCCTTTTTCTTTTTTCTCTTGGAATTGTTCAACTTGTCTCTTTTCAAATTCAGTTTATCTGCATGATACCCTAATCTTACTAACCTCTGCACATTATTCTTACCTATTTCTGTGATATCTTCAGTAGGTAAGTAAATCACGAACAGAGTCTTGACACCAGGATTGATGGCTGCGAACTTTTCACAACTCTTTCTTGTCTTTTTCTGTCTCTCATACACTCAAGAGAGGTACTATTCATTGGTCTTTCTGTTATGCGTGAACTTGCAGTCACAATTAATCTTTTCTAATAGCCAGATATTGTTTTTCCTCTTGGTCTCGAAATGTAAAGGCCTCAAGTCTTATTTATTATCTTCAAGACTATTTGGTTTTTTTTTCAGTGATCTAATAAACTTGTTATGAAGAAACGTTATGTAGAAATAGTTCCAATCTTTTCTAGAAAAGTTTTGCGTACATATAGTAATTGTATGCTTTAAATCTTTTTTTGACCTAAAAGATAACTTGGAAATACTTTCTCCTTCTATATTCTTTTTGATTACATTTCTTCTAGTGATTAGTGCTTCATCTATAGATATATCAATAATATTTCTAGAACTTTATCGAGACATTCTTTAAGTAATAATTCTAATCTGACTACTCTCTCAGGAACTTGTTTTCTTCCTATACACATTTCTTTCTTAAATCTTTATTCTCAACATCAAAATATAATACAAGTTTTTCATTAAACATCTGATATATTAACTATTGTTTCTTCTTATTAACGTCAAAGAACCATTTTTTCTTGTTCCAATCAACTACAGTGTTATATGCAAATCATGACAATCTTATCTAACACTTTAACACTTTTTTCTGTGAATGATTTGAATATGTCTTGATAGTTAATGTTCTGTATATCATCGTATCTAATTTCTGTTTCTTTGCATTTTATATCAAGGTAGATTTTCTTTTCTTTCCATCGATATCTTCTTCATCTTCATCCTCATATAATGTTAGTAAATATATTTCAGAAGAATTTGTGTTTATTGGAATCCATCTGGTTAAAGAAAACCAAGCGTTATGTGAAATCAGTCAATTGTTTGTTATAATAAATAACTATAACCTATGAGATAAGTTTCTTGTATGGTCATTCCAGTAAGGTCTTATATTTAGATTTCTTGAAGTCAATATTATAATTATCTCTGTTGATTTTACTTTGTCTTTTGAAGTCTTATTCCTGTTTTTAGATAGGTACTCTTGTGTAATTTCTTTAGGTGGCAGTGGTGGAGAAATTGGTATCATTTAATTATTATTATTATTTTTCTTTTTTTTTTTTTTTTAATAATGTCATAGTCGAAACTTTATTTTCAAAAAAAAAATTAGAACATAAGTTCTATATTAAAGATTTCAAAACTACATTTGTGTTACATAAGTTTAACTTTCAGTTAAACAAGGCACCCAATGTGACATTACACCCCCTATTTCCTATATAAATACTATATTTAACTATTTCAAATTAAATTTTAGTTTAGGACAGGTTGAAGGAGACCTAAGGTGTTAATTATAACATTATAAAGTTGAAGTTAATAGAGAAGAGCCTTGTAAGAACCATTTTTTAATTTCAAGTTCAAAGTTATTGGTTTGATTTGATATGGTATTTGTATTTGGAATTGGTAGAGTTGTTGGATAGGAAAATTTAATACGTTTGGTTTTAAAAGTAATATTTTGGGCTAGTTCCTATTTATGTTGATATTGATTTCATAGAGACTAAATATCTTGATAAAACCAGTTTAGAAGATCGTTTGATAAATTGATTAGAAGTGGTTCTGTTTGTTTTTGAACTAAAGTTTTGATATTAGTAATTGTTATAAGTATAAAGGTTCTAGAGATTGCAAAGAGAATGTAATTGTATTGGAGATTTGAAGAGTTTAAGGTGAAGTGTAAAAGAATATTTAAAAGATTTGAAGCAGTAATTGTTGTAATTTTAAGTGAAGTTAGTGAATTGTTAATGATATTAATAAGTGATTGGTAAATATTAAGGTTATTTTTCTTGCAGATAAGAATGTGTAAGGTGTTTTCAATATTTAAGCATTGTGTGCAGTTTGATGTAGTATATAGATAAGAATAGCTAATATTGAGGTTTTGCATAGTGGGTAAGTTATTTGTTAAAATTTTAATACGAAAAGAGTATTTTAGAGAATTATTTTTTAAAGAATTTAGGATTTTAAACATTAGGGCTCATTTGATATCAATAATACCATCAAAGAATTTGAGTGTAGACCAGGTAGAGAGTTCTTGTATTGTAATAGTATTTTTGATAAAAGTTTGGATTTTCATTGGTATAAGGAAGTTATTCTAGTTGAAATGTGTTGGATAGTTAAAGAGGAGAGATGAGAATTCGATTATTGGTTTAGTAGTACCTTGTTTTGCTAATAGATCAGCTTGATTG